AAGTAGGATTGCCCAACCTTCCTTCCGAGGAGTGGCTGGTGGATTTGAACTGCCAGCCTTCTGGTTAGCAGTCAAGTGCCTTAGGCATTATGCTACCAGAATATAGAAGGAAAAGAATATAAATACCTGACAGACATTGTAGGGCAATATAAGAACCTACAGGTACTAACTTTATTTATATTTTCTCTGGCTTACATAATAAGTCATAGATTTAGAATTAATGCTAGAGCATTAATTTCAAATGAAGAGAGTATACATCATCCTTGAGTATATGTCCTGGGTTTTAACACATCAGTCTTTAACTCATCGTACTTTTCCTGTACCCCACATCCTTCCATATTCTACAAAAAGTAGAATAACTCTATGTTGGAAAAACTCATCAAGAAATATAGCAGAGGATGAAGATGGCGGAAGAGGCAGATAAGCTACATAGACCCTCTTCAACCAAGAAAAGATAAACCAGTTGACAGAGATACAGAAGATACTCCTGGAGCCTTGAAAGCAAGTACACAGAAGTGGATTAGGCATCAACTAGCAGAAAAACCCGAATTGAAACAGTGAGTACAGAGATAGACGAAGCTGCAGATTGTCAGCTAGTCTGAGAGCACCAACAGCCTGAATATTTCTAAGTGGTGTCGGGACCTGAGAATTGACCTAAAGATCAGCCCGGGTCGCCAAGGGCTGCAGGGACAACTTCACTGGTGGCATATGACCACAAAGGGAAACGGCAAGGAGGGAGACAACCAGACTGTTGACTTTCGGCTGTTCAGAGGGCAAAGGCATTTTGATTATTTACAAGTGGCTGCCTGCCATTTTGGATATTTAAAGTGACAGAGGGCACAGCCATTTTGAATGTTTACAAGCAGTGGCCATTTGGATTTAAAGTGACAGCATTCTCATTCAGATTCCAAGGATCTAAGAATAGGTTCCATTTGCCAAGGACTGCAGGGACATACTGGAGGCTGACAATGGGAAAGGAGACAGTGGTAAGTGTGTAAGTGCTGCCAACTAGTGAATAGAAGAGCACAGTACCCTGCTTACTTAGATAACATCCAAACAACAACAACAACAAAAAAAAATCATGGCCAAGTCACTCCAATATACAATCACCAATTAAATAAAAACACAAAAACATTACAATGTCTCAGAGACAACAGCACCAGAGTTCACACAAAGAAGTAGGATAAAACAGGAGAAAAAAAGGACCAGGATAGAGACCCAGACTATACCCCTGAGGAAGCAACAGCATTGGAACTCTCTGATAAGGAATTCAAAAGAATTATATTTAGGTACCTTCAATGGACTGAGAGACAGATCAAGGAAAACACTGACAAATTTCGGGAGAACAAAGAGAAAACCCTAAAAACTTTTTAATACAAGAGCAAAATGACAAAATAAATTAAAAATTAGACAAGATACAAAATCTACAGATAGAAATTCAGGAAATGAAAACTAAATTTTCAGAAATAGATAACATAATTGAATGGGCAAAGCAAATGGGCAAAGGAGTACAACTGAATCAATGGAACACAGAATTAGTGAGACTGAAGACAAGTACCTCAATATCTCCTTCAAAAGGGATCAATCAGGAGACTTCCAGTAAGATGGAGGAATAGGCAGACAAGTGACAGAGGCCTTCTTCAACAAAGAAAAGAAAAACCAATTGACAAGAGATACAGAAGATAATCCTGGAGTCCTGACCTTTGAAATGAGCTATGCAGAAGTGGATCAGGCACCAACTAGTGGAAAAACCTGAACAAAAACAGTGAGTACAGAGAAGTTTGGAGCTGCAGACTGTCAGCTACTCTGATGGGACCGACAGCCTGAATATTTCCAAGCGGTGTTAGGACCTGAGAATTGACCTAATGCTCAATCCTGGTCACCAAGGGCTGCAGGGACGAATGCGCTGGTGGCCTATGACTAGGAAGGGAAACAGCAAGGAGAGAGGCAACCTGACCTAATGACTTTCCGCTGTCCAGAGGGTACAGCCATTTTGATTGTTTACATGTGGCAGCCATTTTGAATGTATACAAGCGACGGCCATTTTGGAAATTTAAAGTGACGGAGGGTGCAGCCATTTTGAATCTTTGTAAGTGGCAACCATTTTGGATTTTAAAGTAATAGCATTCTCATTCAGATTCCAGGGTCCTAAGAATAGGCTCTGTTTGCCAAGGTCAGTAGAGACATATAAGAGGCTGACAACAGGAAAGGAGACAGGTAGTGAGTGCTGTCAACTAGCAAATAGAGGAGCACAGTATCCTGCTTGAGTAGATAACACACAAAGAAAACGAAAATTGTGGGCAAGGCACTCCAACATACAATCACCAATTAAATATAAACACAAAAACATCACAATGCCTCGGAGACAACAGAGGATCACAACCTACACAAAGAAGCAAGATAAAGCAGGAGAAACTAGGGACCAGGAAACAGATCCAAAACACATCCCTGAGGAAGACACAGCACTGGAACTCCCTGATAAGGAATTCAAAAGAATTATATTTAGGTATCTTCAACGAAATGACAGAAAGATCAAGGAAAACCCTAAAACAATTTTGAAAGACAATACAAGAACAAAATGACATAATAAATGAAAAATTAGAAATGATACAAAACCTGCACACAGAAATCCGGAAGATTAATACTAAATTTTCAGAAATAGGTAAGACCTTGAATGGGCAATGGAGCAGAATTGAATTAATGGAAGACAGAATTAGGGAGACTGAAGGCAAATACCTGAACACTTCTTTGGAAAGGGATCAATCAGAAAAAAGATCAAAACAAAATGAAGACACCTAAGGCTCACGTGGGATACCATCAAAAGGAATAACCTATGTGTAATCGGAATTCCAGAACAGGAAGAGAAAGATAAAACTACAGAGAAAACTGCTGAAGATTTGTTGGAAGAGAATTTTTCTGGTATGATGAAAGACGAGAATATATCCATTCAGCAAGTCCAATAAACCCAAACAGGATAGACCCCAAAAGACAATCACCCAGACATATCATCATCAAAATTATCAAAACCAAAGACAAAGATGGAATCATGAGAACAGCATGGGAAAAATGAAAAGATACCTACAAGGGGCAACCAATAAGACTAAGCTTGGATTTCTCAACAATAACCATGCAGGCGAGAAGACAATGGGATGGTATGTATATATAAAACATGGAAAGAGAAAAATTTCCAACTAAGAATTAGGTACTCAGCAAAACTGTCCCTCAAATATGATGGTGAAATCAGGACATTTCCAGATAAGCAGAAATTAAGGGAATTGGTTAAAACCAGACCAACCTTACAAGAGATGCTAAAGGGAGACCTTTGGACAGAGAAGCAACAACAGCCAACAACAACTGACCATTAACACACACGATGATATAACCCAGAAATCAAACCAGCTATGGAAGTATCCAAAGTAAATAACCCTACAAGATTGTAAACAGGGAACCAGAGACATCAATTGACAAAGGAGGACAACAACAAACCAAAAAGAGTGAAAAAACTGTGTCATTACAGAACTTCTAGATGGTAGGGAAGTCAAGACAACTACAAGATAGAACGGACTGTTCTAAACTTGGGAAGAAAACTATAAATCACAGGGTAACCTCAAAGAAAAATGATAAACCTTCACATCGGAAAAGAGGACCAGCATAAATAT